GGAGGGGAGGAGGGGAGGAGGGGCTATCAGTACTGACTAGGAAGGTCCAAGGAGTCTTCTGGGATGATGCAGTGCTCTGGGTGGTGGTTCTGTAGGCAATGTGACCAGTTCATTAAGCAGCAGTAAGATCTGTGCATTTTTGTTGAGTTGTTAATTCTCACCCAAGGATACTTTTCCCATTGATTTTTGGGAGTGGAAGGAAGAGAGGAAGGGGGTTGGGAAATAGAGAGAGAGAGAGAGAGAGAGAGAGACAGACAGACAGACATCTATGTGAGAGAGATATACATCAATTGGTTGCCTTCCACAAGGGGCCTGGGATTGAACCCAGATATGTGCCCTTGACTGGGAATTGAACCTGTGACCCTTTGATACAGGGGCTGATGCTCTAACCACTGAGCTAAATGGGCCAGGGCAAGACCTGTTTGTTTTACTGCACATAATTCTATCTCAGGAAAACACAACTAGTATTTAAAGAAAAAATAAGCCTATACAATCAATTCTTGTTATTAGCGGCAGTTACATTCCATACTAATAAAAGCCTAATATGTTCACTGTCCCCTCAGGCGGTCATTGGACTGGGAGACCGGGAGTTCGACTGCTCGCATGAGGTTCGCTGACCACCAGGGCGCGGCGCGGAACATGACGGGCATCGGGGATGTGCGGCTCTCTCGCTGTCTACCAAGGGGTGGGGGTGACTGGGACAGAGGTGCGGTGAGAAGGCGGGGTGTCCACTGAACTCACTCTCACTCCTCCCTGCTACCCTCCCCCGGAACGCCAGGGCTCGTGCTGGGGAAGCCCCCCGCACTCAGGTGCGGCCCGGCTCACCCACGGGGCCTCTTCCAGGTGAGCCGGCCGCAGCTGCCGGGACCACAGGGGCTGGCCGGGCTCCCCGTGGGGAGAGAGCGTGCTGCCCACCCAGCCTCTGTGTGGCACCGCTGGGTGGCCCAGAGCCCGCCGCATCTGGCCACGCTCACGGCATCTCCATGTGGGGACTCAGGCACTGTGATCAGGCAGAGGGGGGGCACGGCGCGGGGGCCCAGGTGCTGCCCAGAGGTCAGCTGGAACCTGCCCTTCCATGCCAGGCACGTATGCTGATCACCAGCCAGGCACAGGGACCACACCCACGCACGAATTTCATGCACCAGGCCTCTAGTATTCCATAAAGTTCCATGAACGGAGTCGGGGACTGGGAGCTGGGTTGACCCTGCGGGGAACACAGGTTCCTATGAGCCTCCTGCACAACATTTTCATCAACCGGCCGATACGTCATGATGTGTTATGTGCGTTTCTGTTTGAAGACGCCCTAGGTGATGTGTACTGCTGATTTGCTCACATGAGCACACGGCCAACGGCACTATGACTCACACCGAGGGAAGCTTCTGGAACATGTATTTTCTCTGAGACGCATCAGAGCCTTCTCCAGCTCCGGACGGCCCGCCAGCACTTCGACGTTGTGCTTGAGAAAGAGCATTTCAAACAGCGACATCACCAACAAAAAGACACAAAAACAAGCCAGCGGGCATGGCTCAGGGGTTGAGCGTCTACCTAGGAACCAGGAAGTCATGGTTCGATTCTGGTCAAGCCCTGAACGGTCTGGCTCAGTGGACAGAGCATCGGCCTGCGGACTCAAGGGTCCCAGGTTCGATTCCAGTCAAGGGCATGTACCTTGGTTGCAAGCACATCCCTGGTGGGGGGTATGCAGGAAGCAGCTGATTAATATTTCTAACTATCACTCTCTCTTCCTCTCTGTAAAAAGCAATAAAAGTATATTTTAAAATAAATAAAATAAAGAGTATATATTCTGCGTGCCTTTGTAAGTCTGAAGGACTCTGAGAAGAATCTATTCAGCACTGACCACTGACCACGAGGATGGCGACCTCGAAGATGGGAGCAACTGTGAGAGGGAGACATTTCACTGCACATTTTTCAAAATAACTTTTGGCTTTTGTCCTGTGAATGTACCAACCATTCCAAAACCTACATTTTAAAAAAATCGGGTGGAAAAAAATTAGAGTATTATTTAAGCCATCGCTACATGGGTAAAATGTTACTTGCAGCCAAATACACACAGCTAAAAAGCTACTCGGGTGAAAGGAAGCGCTGGGATCTGAACCCAAATTTCCTGGACCCCGAAGCCTGGGCTGCTTCCCAAGACATCCGAGGCCTCCTTTCCAATGCCCACGAGCACTCTGGGACACGGAGGGCCTGCGGGATGGAGCCAAGCTTCCTTCCCTCCACCCGTTCCCCTGAAGATGCGGCCCAGTGTGGCTCAACATCCCCATCGGCTAGGACAGCGGTTCTCAACCTGTGGGTCGCGACCCCTTTGGCGGTCGAACGACCCTTTCACAGGGGTCGCCTAAGACCATCCTGCATATCAGATATTTACATGACGATTCATCACAGTAGCAACATGACAGTTATGAGGTAGCAACGGAAATAATTTTATGGTTGGGTCACAGCATGCGGACCTGTATTTAAAGGGCCAGAAGGTTGAGAACCACTGGGCTAGGGGTTTACAGTCTCCACCTGCTGGGATCAGCTAACTCCGGCCGGCGCCACTCACTCTCCCGTCTTCTCGAGGTGGTGCAACCAGCACTGTCCGGCTAACCCTCTCTGCGCACCGAGGGCTGCAGGGGCGTCGCAAGCTGGCCAACTGCCTCCTCTCCAGCCCCTTCGACACTAGTGCCACGAGGCAGCCAAAGTGATCCATTTTAGTTAAGGCTGTGTCATTCCCCTTCGCAGGACCCTCCACGGGCATATGGTTTGAGGTAGGGATCTAATTTCAGCTCTTCCCATAGGAATGACACTT